AAAATACAAATCTTTTTGTGCTCAACAATAGAAGGAAACTCATTTGTTGTATGAGGGTGAGTAAATGATGACAGAATTTTCATTTTTGGGTGAACTATCACTTTAAAGTCATCTTGTGGCCCCCTTGAAGCTACTGGCTTACCAACTGAACCGTTTTTTTTTTTTGTTTGTTTTTTTCAGTAGAGATAATTAAAAAATGGTTTATTTAAGGGAAAAAAAAGCACTACTTGAAATTAGGCTGTCATAACTTACTTGTTTAATGGAAAAGAGTAATTTTTCCAAGTAAAGAGGTACCTGAAACATAAACAAGTTTTAGATTTCTATCATAGCATCCTTTGTGAACTTTTGTGTTCAGTGGACAAAACATTCAAAATCTGATTTTCCACAAATTTTGTATAGGGAAAAAGCATGTGCTGTGAAAAGGACACGTGACCAAAAACCTTCACAGCATTTTGAGCAGAGTGCACCACTAACCCTACAACCTCATTTTCATTTGCATCAAATTAAATGTGCCATTTACTGTGACAAAAATCTAAATTTTGCCCATTGGAGGAGCCCTTCCTCTATTGTGCTTATAATGACATCCATAAAATGCTGTTAAAGACCGTAATGATAATCTCACCTTGAGGAATGACAGGTTACGGTTTCTTTCAATACTGGTGATCTCCAGATTTCCCATGACCACCTCACAGTTTTCGTAGAACTTGCGAAGAGTTTTGTACTGCTGGTCCAAATCCGACAGCGTGCTGAGCTTGTTATCAGTGCCAGGACACACTATAGAGGAGAAAAAGAGAGAGAAATAAAACAGGTAAAGATCAAAAAATTAAAAGATGGGTCAAATCAAAAGGTGACTTGACTTGACTTGACTTGACTATAGCCATAAAACAGCTTCGTAATTAGGAAGATTCCAATACATGAAGATTCTGAATGGGATTTTTTAGCGAGACATTAAATGACTTAAGACTCGACTCAGACTCGTGACCAAAGACTCGAGACTTGACTCGGACTCCTGGTTAAAGACTTCAGACTTGACTCATACTCCAAGTTAAAGACTTGTGAACTTCTCTGCTTTGAACAGTAGTGTATGAACATCTTTACATCTAGAGAAGGCCACCACTCTAAAGCAAGACACATTTTAGCAGCTCCATCCATGTGAGACAAACGGACAACGCAAAAACTGAAAAAGTATATTAATATACAGTACATACATTTTATATGTAACTTATGATATAGATTATGTGTTAGACTGTATTTAAATACATTAAACTGTTCTCCAAACTACTTGGCGGAAGCAAAAAATGTACCCAACTTTGTTTCCTTAAAACAGGGCTCACCAAACTTGGTCCTGGAAGGCCGGTGTCCTGCAGAGTTTAGCTGCAACTTGCCTCAACACACCTGCCTGGAAGATTCAAGCATACCCAGTAAGACCTTGATTAGCTGGTTCAGGTGTGTATGATTAGGGTTGGAGCTAAACTCTGCAGGGCACTAAATCTAAATTAAGATTTAACGTAATGATAATCTCACCTTGAGGAATGACAGGTTACGGTTTCTTTCAATACTGGTGATCTCCAGATTTCCCATGACCACCTCACAGTTTTCGTAGAACTTGCGAAGAGTTTTGTACTGCTGGTCCAAATCCGACAGCGTGCTGAGCTTGTTATCAGTGCCAGGACACACTATAGAGGAGAAAAAGAGAGAGAAATAAAACAGGTAAAGATCAAAAAATTAAAAGATGGGTCAAATCAAATAATTCCTTAATAATGTGGTATTATTTCTTGCATAAATAACAAGCTTTGAATAACTACAGCTATGAAAGCCAACAACAATTAGGAGGATGGGTGAGAATTACAAAAAAAAAAGGGAAAACCACTGGAAACCTTCTAAGGCAGCATTAGCTTCTCTAAACAATGTGTGCAGTGTCCTTAGGCCACAATCATAAATCTTTTTCTTCATATGGACGCTTCAGTATCGCACACATTGTGTTAAAAGACACAGGTCATTACTTCAAGAAAGCAATTAGCAAAATTATTGAGTGAAAGTTCATGTGCGTTTACGCTTCCACTGACCTGCTTTTGCAACACTAAACATCTGCCATCCTCAACAACCAGATAAAAGGAGCATTTTCCACTTTTTCAATTAAAAAAAGCCTTTGTGCCTGGCAACAGTGTTAATGTCAGCTTCTCTTTATTTTCGCCCAGCTGAGCACTGAGGGCTGTATGGCAGGTTTTAATGAAGTATTTGGTGAGTGATTGTTCCACTGATTCCAGAGACTAATCCTTGCTTGGAATCTCGGCGATGCCAGGCTTCATACGGGCATCTCAACTCATTGTTTCTTTGTTTCAGGTTGGAGTGACCCAGTAGGATTCGATCATAGGATAATCTGAAGAATATTGCATGGGATTTCATGCACCTTTTTGGTAAAGGTAAAGAACAGTGTAAAACTGGAAGATACAACAGACTTTACAAGCTTTGGATGATGCAAGAACAGTTTAGAGCCTACAACTAACTGCACTGGTTAAACAACGTACCATTTTTTGTCATATGAATAGTTTTCCAGTTTTGTGCCATTATTTCTTCTTTTAAGCTGAGGGGTGTATATTTAATATATAACTCATGCCTAAAGAAAACATGAAATAGTGTTTGCAAACCATTTAACGGTATTCCATATAGGGGTGGGCGATATTGCCTCAAAATTATATCACGATATTTCAATAATATTTGCGATAACGCTATTTATGACGATATAGAAAAAAAAAAACATGGAACAACGTTTTATTGGTGATTGAAACTGGCAGGCAGCAGCATTTATTAGTGCAAACAAAATGAAGGGCATTTTCCATCCTTTTCCAATGAGCTACTGTCATCGATGACAGACTACCTAATTTGAAGTGTAAATCTATTGTCAAAAGGTGGCAGCAGCAGCTGTGTGTTCGACTTGAAGCAGACCGATCGGTGTATGACGTTAAAATACCACGAGAGTGACTTACCCTTATTTACACTGCATGACTCCGACGTGGCCACTCTAGTCAGTGCTTGTGTTTACACCAGCGGAGCCGCGGCACATTTCAGAAGCGTCCCAGTAGTGGCTCTCCGCGCCGCTTCGCTAAAGATATGCACCTCGTCTATTTTTGAAGGTAAGAGTATGTGCATGAATATGCTCTAGAACCGCTCTCACGATACTTTGATGTCATACACCGATCAGTCTACGCAGCGCTGCTTCAAGTCGAACACACCTATTGTGTGGTGGTGTTGTTGTTGTGCGCGCAAGGTAATGTATATCAGCCATATGTCATCATGACGCTATATCATTGATATCGCGATATGACACTTTCTTTTAATGCAAAAAATTATACCGGTATTATCGTGGACAGTATGATATGGCACACCCCTAATTCCATATAAAGCAGAATATTCTTTGGAAGATAAAATAGTACATGACTTATAGTACACTAACTGTATTGTGGGAATTTCTCATATTTAATGAAATATTAGAAATCACTTTCTTAGACTAACACACATTGATGAATTGCGCACAGTAGGAATGAGGGAGTTTTGATTTAAATTTTGGTTACATTTTGAGTAGCACTTAATTTTATGGTCTTCTTCCTACTATGTAGTTATTATAGTAATTACAACAACTAAGTAATAACTAGGTACTAACCATGAACCTTCCCCTAAACCTAACCTTAACCATGTAGTTACCTTATACTACCCAGCACTTTCTTAGGTAGGTACACTGAACTGTAAAATAAAGTGATACCAGATTTTGATTCCAAAATGAATTTTAGAATGAATTTTAGAATTTATGTATGTATGTATGTATGTATGTATTTATTTATTTTCTTCGAATTATTTTCACAATCATACTGGAGTGCACTCCAAAAATTATCTGCAGGTAAGAAGGAAATAAAAAATGATAAATGTGAATAATAAAATACAACTAGGTTAAAATAAAGTTTGTAAAGTTTGTAGTAGTTTTAAAAGCTTGAAATACGAAGTTTTTCAGTTTGAAGTAGTTTGAATTAGTTTTGAAGTTTGCAGTTTGAAGGTTTTGAAGGCTGTGGGGTGGTTCCTATGCAGATGCTAGGGTATTCTGAGTGGTTGCTAGGGTGTTGCTATGTGGTTGGTAGGTTGTTCTTGAATGGTTGCCAGAGTGTTTCTATGCATTTGCTAGCACATATTATCACATTGCTAGCATGTTTCAGATAGTCTTTGCTAGACAGACAGACAGACAGACAAACAGACAGAGAGACAGACAGAGAGACAGACAGACAGATAGATAGATAGATAGATAGATAGATAGATGGATAGATAGATTTTCAGATAGTCTTTGCTAGACAGACAGACAGACAGACAAACAGACAGAGAGACAGACAGAGAGACAGACAGACAGATAGATAGATAGATAGATAGATAGATAGATAGATAGATAGATTCTGTAAAGCCGGGAACACACTACTCTCAGGCCGATTATGAATGTAATTTGGGCTCAGCCAGTGTTTTTAGTCTGTGTTTAAAGTCGTTTAGTGTGCGGTGTCTAAAGAATTTAAGGCCAGCTGTTACTAGTCGTCCTCACAAAGATTATTTGTGACTAATGCCAGCGACTAACTGCACCTGTTTCCGAATATAAATGGCCTATTAATTTAAATAACGAATTAACAAATAATAATAATAATAAAAAAAAAAAATTACAAACATGACATTTCTGAATAAAATAATTTTATACACTTCAATTATATCTAATATATTTGAGAAAATATGATGAGGAAATGCAGTGCCTTGAATAGGCAATCTTTGCACATTTACTGTAGAATAATGAAATGAAAATTACAATATACAAATAATATTTTAAATGACTTCTGTTTCGGAATAAATAAAGCAGTATTTAATTTTCTTTCTAACTGCTAACTCATATTTTGTATGTGGACAGGCTGTAGCTACAGTATGTTGCATGTAGATGTTGTGACTTAAGTGATACAAGTTCACGTCTGTGTTTTGTATTCGTATTAGTTGAGCAGATGTGCATTATGACCTGGCATGAGGTCTTCTTTCTACACAGCTTCTAACTTTATAGTTCAAGTGGCCTATTGTAATCGGTAGCAGTATTTAGGGACTGGGGCTATTGTGAATGATTTTAGGTTATGTTGACAATGGGCATGTTCGTAACGGTGATGGAGATGGTAGTTTTACTATGTGTGTCTTCAACTGTGTTCTACGTTTTATTTTTCCATAGGATCAAAGAAAAGATTGAAATGACCTGAATACTGAGTCCTACTCCATCCGTTAGTTACTAGTGCTCACTTTTGCCAAGGTCCGACCAAAAATAAAATTCTGCCTACGCCACTGGATAGAACTACTAGGGTTGCACAAAATCTGTCACTTGGTTAAAGGTAACTAGAAATATAATTTTTGCTTACTTTTTTATGTTAACTGTAGTACTGCACTCTTTTGAGATGTTCAATGTATATTTCCAGGCTCTGTGTCGAACCAGTGGAGATCTATTGTTTTTTTTTGTGTGTGTGTGTGTGTGTGTGTGTGTGTGTGTGTGCTATTAGCGATGATTTCCAGGGACAGTGATGAGTCTTGGCTGAAGGAGCTGTGAGGGCTAACAGGCACAGGAACAGACAGGCCCCTTTAACCCTGGCAGAGGTGTCAGACTTGACATGCAATTAAAGACACCTATTTCCACCCATCAAACACCTTCCCGGGTCCAGCCTGAACCATCTGCTACATCAGCTGGCCCATGCCTGCCGAGCACCACAAAGCCAATTATTGTAAATGTGTGTGAGTAGAAAATACATGTCCAATGATTCATGTGAGAATGCTTATGTGTGCTTGTGTGAAACACATGGCCATTAGTTTCCTTTGGCAAGAAATATTCACTTCTGCATCAGTATTCATAATTCTCATGAATCAGTATTCAAGTCTCTCTTAACCATTTTTACATGTCATGTTTTTGAGGTTGTTGACCACAGTGAGAGATATGAAGATATCTATATATACCAAAAATGATTCAGACACCAGATATAACATTTTATATTTTTTACTAGTGGGGCAGTACACTATAGCTCATTTATGTAAGTGAGGATAGCAAAATAAAGTAAACTGTGACATACTATACCCAACAATTTTTCATACAGTGGACTACCAGTAAAACACTTACCACATACACAGAGTAAGGAGAAATGTCTGATGGGACGATGGCGAATGATTTGCAGATCCTGAGCACCAATGACAATCTTCAATGTGTGGTAAGTACTGCCGCTCCATAGTATAGAGTCCTTGTGATCGCAAATCTCAAAAGTGAAAGTGAAAGTAAAATGAGAGCGCACAATCGAAAGCGGATTCAATAGTGGCTCCCTGATGCCCGCAATTTATATACAGTCGCCTATACTGACCTAACAATATAATTGCGAGAAAAAGTATTGAAATATTTTTTTTATCCTTCCATCTTGTAGGCTATTTATTCCCTTTAGGGTTTCTGTAGTACACTTCATTTCCTTTCCGAACACGGAACTGGAATGCGGTGGATTGCGGGAGAGGAGGTGGTGGTGGTGGTGGGGGGGGGATCACAATGTCAGCTTAACATCGTGATGGACGAACGGAACTGGGATGTGGCGGATTGCGGGAGAGGGGGTGGTGGGGGGAGGAATCACGATGTCAGCTTAACATTGTGATGTCTGTCAGCCATCTGCGATGGACGATGGCATGGTCTATCGGCCCAACCCTAATATATATATATTATATATATATTCTTCATATCTCTCACTGTGGTCAACAACCTCAAAAAACATGAAATTGTCTGTAAATTAAAGTCTGTAAAACATTTAAAATGGTCCATTTCATTTTAAGCACATTTAGAAACTATATTTATTATATTACGTTTCCCTCTCATAACTTGAAATGTTTAACAGATGGATCTAAATGGACGAATATGAAGTGCATGCATCTGCGTAGATACATGCCCATAGATACCTAAATACAAAACTCCCATTTGTAATTTCCCACACAAACACGCACACAGTCATTCCCCGCTGTGCGCAATTTTTATTTAATTTTTTTTTTGTTGCCTATTGTACTTAATGTTGTGGGTATGTCTGTCCCACTGACTCCTGGAATTCCTGCATGAAGCCACTGCCAAGAAAAAACTATATTAATACGGCCTACTGTTGTGCTGCTCACGGAGGTCTCAAATAATTTATTTCACAGAAAGCAGAGTGGCGGGCAAATGAGGACACCTTTTCTTTCATTTATTGTCATTTCAGTAATGACGTTGTTGGACCATGGAGATCAGGATGATAGAGGGTAG